TTGCCAATATCCGATATTTTTCAACTAATTTGACTGATATATATTTCCTTTTGAAACAACACCAAGTCTCTCCTGTACAGAGATTATGTGTGTTCACTCCCACCTGTCGCAGTTTGAAAGAGAAAGCACCACGATGGGCCAGACACCCAGTGTTGCATTCACTGAACAAAAGCTCATGGTCATGAATAATGAATACCAAAGAATACAATGGAGGAGACAAGACAGAATCAGGTCGCTTATTGATTTCTAAGAATTAAATAACTGATGTTCTTAGTGTTACGTGTGTATAAAGTACAGACCTATAACACAAAGGCCATACATGCATTTAATTTAAATGGAGCTTCTTTCTTTTAAACAGAGCTGCTTCTTTTTACACATTCAGACAGGAAAACCTGACAGCTTATAACTTCACAACTGTGTGTTGTGCCTCTGGTGCCCTCTTATAGCAGATGTTTTCATCCAGCTCTCATTGGAGACCATATGCTTTTCCTCAAGCCATACAGCTAACACACGGTCTCTTTAAACAAGACAAAAATAAAATGCAATTATAATATAAAGCAACTAGTTAAAAAAACTAACTCTTCTTGTCTCTGTTTCTATGTATAAACTGAACCTTAATATTGATTTTGTACAGAAGCTACTGCAAGAAATCTAACATGGTACTGGACCAGTTTAGACAAGTTACAATGTCTTGTCAGCATCTTTTTGTAATATCTTGCACTAGCAGCTATGCATGTAATTTCATGAAAAGAATCAGAATCAGGTTGACTTTCAGGACAAAATGAAATCACAGCCAACACCTTTATTTTTTAAACATTGTATAAGTAATGTTAAAGTAAACAGGTTTTAATTATTTATTTGAATATGACGCAGTCATTATTTTGTCATTCTTATTTACAATATAAAAGTATTTGTAGTATTTTCAGATGCATTGATGAAGCCATAGAGCAGGTATCTCAGATTGGGCCCTTTCTATATCTATAATAATGACTTCATAAATTCAGAAGAATTTTTCTTAACACTGCTACTGTTAGTTATTGCACCTTCTCTAGTTCCAGTAATTTTAAAAACAGAGTTGCTGAATGTGGTATGTTGCTTCAGGGCTTCTGTCCAAGCACATAACTGCTGAAACTTGTGCAGCTTCACTGTTATGATCAGATGTCATTGCCATTCTCTCAGTCTTCAGTAACGCAATGTTATCACTCTAGCAAACAAAGTGAAATAATTTCTCATAATACTTGTATATTCATAATTTATATTTTATAATTAAATCTAATAAGTAATGTAGTCTTTATTCTCAAAGATAGATCAAAGTGCAATTTAAACTACTGCACTGCAGATGTCGCTAATGTTCTTCTATTAAAGACAACACTTGATTGCATCCTCCAGCAACCACAAGAGGGCGTTGATTGCTCAGTGGTGTTTACTGCATCGTAAACATTGAAACACAAGAAGTGCGACCCACTACTATTACAAAAGGACAGATACAATCATATTTTTTATCATGTTTTATAAAAACATAATCTTAAATTCTGCTTCCTACTGGACCTAATTCAATTGCTTTTTTGAGGCTGATTTTATAAAGTGCAGATTCCCAGAAAGTACAGAGGGTTCCAGGCTGTAGATCTGACAATGAAGAACTGTCAAGGACATGCTCAGCCAAGCAAGTGTGAGGCCCATCAGTTCTGTTCCCTCTACGAAAGTGAGAAAAACATTTCCTATTTATCAAATTAATTTATCACACAGTCACCTGAGTGACTTATCCTGCACCTGCAGTCTTAAAAAAATAAGTTTCAACCTCTCTTCTCAAGTCCCACAGCTTTGAAAATGTTTCTGTAATGAGTCAGTCAAAAAAATATATATTTAATTGCACCATAAGGCCCTTCAGGAATTTGCAGCCCTATTAATTCCCATCTAAACTGTCACTTTCACTGACAGAGTGTTTTTGACTGAGAGCCAAATAAATGTTAGCTGGTTCCCCTTCAAACAGACTTACAGACCAGCATTGTCTAAGAGTCTTAGAGTGTCTTTAATAACTAGCCAGGAATTAAAACAAACTTATAACAAGAGACTAAAGAGAAAAGGGTCTCTCAGACAAGGTTGTATTAACATACATCATGGTGTGTTTGTAGAGGGTCTGTGTGTTTACATTACACATTCTGGGTAAATATCACTTTTTAAATAATATTTTCCGAAAAAGAGAAGAGTGACTGACACAAAGTTTACAATTGGTATTAAGATCGGTCTGGGTTGATCCAATCACATGTGGTCAGCATGGCCGTTGTAGTACGCTGAAAAACGCTTTCTCACAGGCATCCTTGGATTATAATCGAAGCACAAACATCATGATCTTGCCAGCAGAATTTTGTCAGTTATTTTAAATCAGTACCTGTAATGTGATGTCAAACATACTGAAGAAGTTCCATCAATTCTTGAGCTTATATAAGTGCATTATTTGAGGAGACAGCCATCTGCAGTGATCGCCGACGCCATAGTGGGTATTATTGAGTGCAATCATTCAATCCCTTTAAAATAGGGGTGTCAAACTCAATTCCTGGAGGGCCGGAGCCCTGCAGAGTTTTTTTCCCAACCCTGCTCCAACACACATACCATGCAGTTTTCAAATAAGCCTAGAGGACTTGATTAGTTGATTAGTTAGTTAAAACGATCATACAACCAATGTGCACGTCTGTATGCATGGTGAGCGTTGCGCCAAAAGAATTCCCGCTCCTCACCAGAAGATGGCGTCCGCAGCTCTCTCCAGTGTTCGAATTCGGTCACTCGTTCGCTCAACTATCCACCTTTAACATATGCCCCCATGACGATTTGCGCGAATTATGGGGGTAAAGAATAAACGAAGGATTCGCTCCGTAAACGCAAAAATATGCATTTTTATACAACAGTTCTTTATAGCCCTCAAATCTGATTGGCGGAGAGGTCTTATGGCCCTCGAATCTGATTGGCTGAGAGTTTTTTTTTTATCCATAAGATATCCACCCAATATCGCCATGGGAGCCGTTTCACTCCACACAATTTTATAAATAATACAGTTTTTATGTAACAGATTGTAGTTTTAAGAGTTTTTTTAGGTGAGAATGTAGTTGTTTAGTCTTCAAATATGCGGTTTGTTAATAAAGATAACACCTATTTGAAAATTAGCTTCAACGATTTCGGAGATGTGAGCTCCAGGGCGTCAGCGGCAGTTCAGCGCTCATGAACCCGCTGAGAGGCAGCCTCACCTCGGCCGGTTCTTCTGGAATTTGCCGCTTGTTCTGATGTCTCTATAGTGGTTAAACATGAGATATAATTTGTTTTGGGTAAATCTAATGGGCAATCTTTGGCCTCCTTAATCTATTATTTGTCCCAGAGCAAATAGTATTGGATGAGGTGATTCAGGGGAAAGATTCATAGCTTTATATTTTTATATAACTTTCATGATGGCTGTTGTTGTTTATTAAATATTATTATACAATAAATAATAGTGTTTAATAACAGTATTTGATATTGAGAAACTGTGTGTGTTTGGAGCAAGCGGCAACCTTCCAGTCTCTCTCTTGAAACCAACACGGAAGTAACCTTTGCCCGTTTTCGATTATCCGTGAGTGACACTCTGCCAAGATGGCGGACGGCCGCTCTGCCCACTTTAGGCTTCAAAAATGCTCTTCAGAGACCTATGGGTGACCTCACGGACACTACGTCCATGTTTTTTTACAGTCTATGGGTTCGGAGTGATGGTGATTTTAGTTACACTGTCCCGCCATTAGATGGCGACAAGAGACTGTTTTTACAAGTCAGCAATAAAGACTTTTATATTGAAAGAGATTGAAACACTGTTGTAAACAAAGAAGTTATTTTACTTTCAACAACCTTGTAAGCAGTGGTGGAGGTAACGAATTACAACGACTCACGTTACTGTAATTAAGTAGTTTTTTCGTGTACTTGTACTTTTTTTGAGTGTATTTTAAAAGCTGTACTTTTACTTGTACTTAAGTACAAATTAAGCAAAATAATCTACTTCAGTTACTTTTAAATCATAGTTCGTTACTGAGTACGCCCACAATTGAATTGATATTCAAACCTTTGACGGCACTTCAGTAGCCAATAAAGATCCGACCACGGACCAATAAAAGCCCTGATATCTGAACCGAGAAAAGCAGCCGCTTTTCCAAGCTATGTCTCTCTTTCCTCTCCGACAGCGATGTACACATTTTTTTTAAGTATACAGTACGTGTTAGTTTTGCCAGTGGTATTGAAAATTATTAGTCGTCCTGAAATCAAAAATGACCCTACTTATTTTTTAGTGCACATTACTAGTCTTGTTGTGAACAATTGAACTGTGCAAGTCAATACACTAGGGAAAAAATTGTCTGCCGTCGTAATCTTTAATCAAAAACTGAAAATTCACTTCCGCTCTGGAATGGCGTTCTTGCTCTGATGACGTCAGTTTGACGGCTTCGGGAGAATCCTCTTGTTAAGTCATGACGTAAGGGCTGCTGTTTCCGGGTCCATGCCTCTACTTATTTCACTTGAGAATACTATCTCAGCAGCCATTTATGAGCATTATTTAATTAATATTACATATTTAAGCTAAGCATTTAAAAATTTGCTGTGTACATTACAGTCTCCGTGCTCACAGTGTCTCAGACACTAATATTTTAGTTGAACCACTGTCTGGCCATCTGGGATTTCAGTATGGAGATAAAGGTTAGGGTTATAATTTTTTTCAGTATTACATGACATTGTGGGTGTATATTAGCACAGTTTGTGGTTTTCTTGTGGCTTCTGGCAGAGCGTTAGGACCCAGAAGAGGTGAAGCGTGATATCAGACGTAACAAGCAGATATTCTTAACCACTCCTATCCAACCGTGAATCTGCTATAAGCAAGTGGTGGAGTGGAGGTGCACCACAATAAAACCTCACCCTTTATTCAATATTCCATTTAACTCGGAAATATATCACAACACTCCAGGGGGGGCCTGGCGCCGCACGCCGGAGGCGGGAACGGGAGGGGGAGCCGCAGGGCGGCCGCTCCCCGAGCCGCGGCGCGGGCCCAGCCCCGCTTCGCACCTCAGCCCGACCGACCCAGCCCTTAGAGCCAATCCATATCCCGAAGTTACAGATCTGACTTGCCGATGTCCCTTACGCTGCCCTGTTCACCTTGGAGACCTGCTGCAGATATGGGTCCGGCCCGGCGCAAGACTTACACCTTCTCCCCCGGATTTTCAAGGGCCGACGAGAGCTCACCGGACGCCGCCGGAACCGCGGCGCTTTCCAGGGCGTGGGCCCCTCTCTCGGTACAAACCCATTCCAGGGTGCCCGGCCCTTCACAAAGAAAAGAGAACTCTTCCCGGGGCCCCCGCCAGCTTCTCCGGGTTCGTTTGCGTTACCGCATTGGGCGCCTCGCGACGCCTGTCTTCGCCACTCCAGGTTCTGGGATCTGAACCAGACTCCCTTTCGATCGGTCGGTGGCGACGGAAGCCATTGCCCCTTCCTTCTGAACGGCACTCGCCCATCCCTTAGGACCGACTGACCCATGTTCAACTGCTGTTCACATGGAACAGTTGCAACTTCCGGTTCACGGGTACTTTAATATTGATATTTTTCAAGTCAGTTCACCTTTATTTATATAGCGCTTTTAACAATACAGATTGTGTCAAAGCTACTGTACAGCATTAATTAGGAAAATTTTTATGTTAATAATGCAAAGTGACAATAGTAAACACTAAATTTTTCAGTTAAACGCAGTTCATCATTGAATTCAGTGATGTCATCATCCAGCTCAGTTCAGTTTAAATAGTCTCTGTGCAATCAAGTCAACGATATCGCTGGAAATGAAGTGTCCCAAACTAAGCAAGACAGCGGCAAGGAACCAAAACTCCATCGGTGACAGAATGGAGATAAAACCTTGGGAGAAATCAGGCTCAGTCGGGGGGCCAGTTCTCCTCTGGCCAGACAAAACCAGCAGTTCAATTCCAGGCTGCAGCAAAGTCACATTGTGCAGAGGACTCAACTGGCTCCTGTGGTCTTGTCCCGGTGGCCGTCTGAGACAAGGTCTTTACTGGGGATCTGTATCTGGGGCACATCTAGTTGTCCTGGTCTCTGCTGACTTTCAGGGCTATAGAGGTCCTCACTAGGTCCTCTCTAGGTGCTTCAAGGTATTGAAGTTAGAAATTCCTGGATCACGACCACTAATTCACGTACTTTGTCAATAAGATAAAAGTGGGTTTTGTTCAAAGTAGCTATTATACACACAGACCTTTGATATGAATTAATATTTTTTGGTAATTCATTAAATATCGCCGACTAAATAGTAACTAGTACTCTGAGTAGTTTTTGAGAGGAGTACTTTGTACTTTTACTTAAGTACTGTGTTGACACCAGTACTTTTACTTGTAATTGAGTATTATTCAGCAATGTAACAGTACTTGTACTTGAGTACAAATTTTCAGTACTCGTTCCACCACTGCTTGTAAGACGCAGTTAACAAATGCAGTGAGCAGCGCTGCCATCGGAAATCCCCCTAACAGATGAAAGAATAGTATGACAAAGATATCGCTTTCCTCAGCGGACATTCTCAAACTGGTGTTTTATTGTAAAGATGAGATTGAGCTGAAGAATGAATGCTGTATCCAATGCAGGTAATCACACTCGCTCAGTCCATCTCTCTCTCATAATACTCGACTCTACATAATACAGTGAGCTTTTAATACAGTGACACCATAAGCTTTTAATGAAGCAACTCAGCGTTCCTTCGTTACTAGTTATGTTTTCAAATGAGTAACGGAGGCTTCTATAGTAACGTGTGTCGTAGTCTTGAGTCAATGGGTGTCATCATGGTACAGTCTGCATACATGTCGTACCCAAGTTATATTTATCAGATCCATGTCGCACATTGTGATTTGCAATGATCTTATAGGATTGCGGGGGAGACCAGGGATGGTTGTAAAAAATTTTGCATTTCTGTATCTTGGAGTTCTTTTAAGCCAGTGCATTCAAAATGTGATTCAAACTAGTTACAAGCGTCTGCTATTAAATAGCATAGCTATTATCTTTGCAGCAGAAACAAAAAATTCATGATTTGTTTTCAAACACAATGAGTGAACTGTTACAATTCACCTCATAGTCCAGGTTAGTTGTAACATACCCTGTTGTGAGATGTAACATAATATTCACCAAGGTGAGATGTAACATTATGCAATAAGGATTATGACAAAAACATGTTTTTAAAGCTTTTTAATCAACACTGGCTTTTCAACATAATTGGTATGTGTGTGTGCATTACATTAGCATCATGATAATAAAACTGAATTGTGTGTGTGTGTAAGCATGTTTTTTTTATGTCAGTCATAGTAATTGGCCATAAAAATAAATTAACTTGAACACTTGATCGTTGAGAGACACCCCTTGGTTTGTCTTTCTCTTCCAAGAACTAGGCATACTGAAATTCAAAGAAAACATAAATAAAACAAAACTTTGCTTGCTTTGTAACATGTTTCACTGATAACCCAGACTAACCCAGTGTCTTGTAACCTTGAACTACCTCACCTTACAGCTAACAGCCAAAACAGTAGCACTAACAACTTGCATGAAAGATATCTACACAGGCACAAAATAAACATAATTTAACTTTGATGAGTTTAACTACAAAGCAGGGACTGCCATAACAAAAATAAATGAAGTTCAAAAAGTTACTTTCTTACCTCAAAATGAGTTTTTCTCCTCTAAAATCTACTTTGTCTGCCACAGGGCTCTACTTCCTCATGTGGAATAAGGACCAAACTAAGAATGTGTGAAGTGAATTAGGTGATTTGTAATTTGTCCCTTATTTGAGAAATTGGAAGTGTTACAACTGACCCGTGTTACAACCATCCTCGGTTTCCCCCCAGAAAGCGTTGGTGTATATTTAATTACAAAATTTTCTCTAAAATTAAATCAAAAGTTCAAAAACATGCAATTACACAATCTGACCACCAACTTTCAGACACCATTTTAGTCATTTTGAGCTCAACTGTCATGGACATAAACACACAGGACAGTGGGATATGCTATAATACAAAACCTATCAGATTAATCTATCTCAGTAGACAGGATGTGACAAATTAATCATAGCATTTGAAGTGCTTCCTACCACTGGGCAGCATTTTTCAGCTTTCTAACGCAGTCGGGGGAAAGGGGTGACAATCAACATTATGTAATATTAACTATATTAAATTTTAATATATTGTACAAGCATAACATGCTAGTAATGCGTTCCACAAGTTTTAAATACCTTTGGTATATGAATATTACATTTTGAATATTACTTTGTCCTTTTGTGGGATACTTCCTTACGATTGAATTTTGTGCTGAAATTTCTCACAATTTTTATTCACTGCACTGCACCAGAAGTTGCAATGCCCACAGAAGCTATATGTTCATACCAGGTGTAAACGGGACCAAAGAGAGCTGCTCTACCCTGCAGTACAGACAGGATAACAGTGTAACTTCCTTCTCTTGTGGCCTAACTAGCAACAAAACTGAAGCAGCCTAGATGTGACTGGACAAAGACAGAAAAATTCAAGAAAAAACATATGTGGAGTGAGATGAAATGCAATGAGACACTTGTTCAGAATTACAAAAGCACAGAAAGTATATGTTCTTTGCTTTCTCTGTGTCTCTGTTTGTCCCCTAAGCCTGAAGGGGTGAAGATATCATCTGAATCAGTCCACCAACACTGGTTCCTGACATCAAGACTCCAGCCAGTTCTGTTTGTTTTCCTTTAATGTTGCTCTTGTCACAGATGTTGATGGATTTTTCACATGGGGAAATAATCTGTGATGTCGCATCACATTTGGTGATGTTTGAAGATGATTATGTAATGACATGCTGTGTGATTTAGACATCTGATAACAGAAGTGATTGCTGTACTGATTTGTTCAAATCTCCCAAGAAAAGACCATCATTTTGGATTGAGTGTTCCTCTGATGCTAGTGGTGGACTTGCATTACCACCATCTCAGTGAGTGACTCAAATGAAACCGATTCTGAGAAAGATATAAAAAGAAGAAGAAATAAGAGAGATAATGAGAAAGTGCACACAACTTGAAAGTGCTCTGTTTCTTTTTTTTATCTGCAAAGAACAATGGGCATTTGAGTGTACAGTATTAACAATTAAGACCAGTTTCAAATGCAAAAACAGAGACACACCTTTAATGATTTATTAAAGTCAAGATAACATATATTAAAAACAATAAAACATTGACTAGGACTCTGCCAGCAAGAATGTAGCAACTGAATTTGTAAGCTTTGTGTGAAAAGTTTAAAATTGGTTTTGTACTACGTATAAATGAACTCAAAAATTAAATGAACAAAATGAAATGCCCCCAAATGAACCATTGAATTGCCTATTTAAAAAAAGCACTCATTTCCAAATCCCATTGCTTAATCTGGAAATCAGTGAATCTATCATTATTATCTATGCTGTCGAGTTTACTCTGTGCTATAATTAGTTTACTTTGAAAGCCTCTGTGCTGTTACTACTAAATACATAACCAAGCAGTCAGAGGAGACATCACACAACCTTTTAAACCTGAGGAGATGTTAACATGCTTGGCCTATTTTCATTTCAGTTGTCACAATTAATAAGAATATTCACAGAAACATTTATAAAACTATTTTGATTTTAAGTGTATTGACAAGTTGATGCTTCCCCTTTAAATTGACTTGATTTTTTTGAAGCACACACACACAGGTTTTGGAGGAGATCTCTGTTATTTGGTGAACACCCTCCACACTGTCAGTCTCGCTGTTTGTTTTGGCTCCTGAGGGCTTCCTGAGTCAAACGTGTCTCCGATTTGGAACAAGAACATAAGTCTGCAAGTTCTTGAAACAGTGTTTGTCTCTTCTTAAAAGTATTACGATGGAAAAAGTATCTTACAAATACAATGGATGTTATGTGTTTAGTTTAATTCACTTCCAGTGAGCTTGACTTGCACTGTGATCTCTTGACTTATACTGAGATCAAACTGCTAGATAGTAACAGTTTTTGTTAATGTTGGAAAGTGTGTTGTTAATAGATAAATTGATATTTCATGAACACTGTTGACCAAATGAAATTTCACCCATTTTTGTTTCTTAATCTTGTGCACTTGCTTACGTGAGAGACAAGTGTCATGCCTGATGGCAAATGCCCACAATAACCTTGGGAAAAAATACTGTTTATATCTCATTTCCTCTGGAGTTCCATCTCAGTAAATGTTCTTAAAGTCAGTGTCATGCACTTTTGATACAAAAACCTTTCAAAGCCATTTTCCCCCCACTCTTTCCATCTGTAATATAACTTTAGATAGTAAAACACACTAAAATTAAACTAACTAAAACAGTGATGACTTGTCCTTGACACTTAAGATGTGTCAACAGGCCCTCACAGCAGACAAAACACTAAACATCTGAACCGGAAGCATGCGTGCTATGTAGTTTTAAACAAACTTATGCAGTTTTGTAGCAAGTGTGCTTGCATGCCAAACACTGGTCTGGTGCAAGAATGAGTAACTGTCGTACTCCCCCAGTGCTGTGACCTGGCGGATTTCCTTCTGCATCTGTGAGGCAGTTTTGAATCAATATCAAAATAACCCCACTGAACAGACCGAGATAGAACATGTTATCAGTCTAAACAGCTGAGAGGAATGTGTGATTGTTTCCATTGGACAGTCTGAACTACCGGAACGTCTTCATGAAAAGCTTTACAAAAGGCTTTCTGATGGACAGTTATTACGTCAGTTCATGTTTTGTATAACATTTTGTATAACTAAAGCTACAAATTCTCAATTGAAATATTTTTTCCCAATAGCTTAGCATAACACTAAAGTCAGCCTGCTAAACTATCATGGCAGTGGTTTTTAACAGAGGGCCTCAGCAAACTTTCAAGGGGCCACAGGGTGACTTTAATCTAATTAGATATTAAAAAAAATGTAATCTGAATTTGCATTTTCCCCTCATTAAGTGGGAATACCTGAATCAGAATCTTGAATTATGGAATCACAAAATGATGTTTTGTTGTTAATTGTTTTTCTATATCAACACTCCCAGTTTCTGCTAATGAAAACAACAACAACATTTGTCATAAAACAAACAGAAATACTTATCCAGTATGAGGGGTCATCGATTATTGTGTTGGTGAATCAAGCCTTCAGGTCAAAAAGGCTGAGAACCACTGCACTATGCAATTTAGCACAGTAATAACAAGAAAAGCATTTTTATTAGCTAGAACTAAATATTGGCATTAAATGACTTTGAGTAAGCTTTAGAACAGTGGTCACCAAACTCAGTCCTGGAGGATCTTGCAGAGTTTAGTTCCAACCCTAATCAAACACACCTGAACCAGCAAATCAAAGTCTTACTTGAAACTTCCAAGCAGGTGTGTTGAGGCAAGTTGGAGCTAAACTCTGCAGGACACCGGCCCTCCAGGACTGAGTTTGGTGACCCCTGCTTTAGAAGGAGCTACTGCTTGTGGCCTAATTTCTTAGTGC